TTAAAAACCAGCCCCTGGAGGGCTTGACGGGGCGACAGCGCTGTCCCGGGATGCTGGGTGGGCTCGCAGTCCTCCTGTTGTGTCCCACCCAGATTCCGAACTTGCTTTTTAAAAATAAGTGTTTATCTATTTGGCTGCGTTGGGTCTTAGTTGCCTCACATGGGCCTGGTTGCTCTGCAGCATGTGGGGTCTCAGTTCCCCTACCAGGGACGGAACCGTGTCCCCGCCTTGCAAGGCAGATTCGCAACCACTGGAGCACCAGAGAAATGCCCGGAGTCTGTTTTTACGGGCAGTCAGGATCAGCTTCCGTGGTCACATCATCCCCACCACCCTCCCTGCTCTGCCCTTCCAACTCGCCAAACGTTAGAGTCAGAGCCTCCTTGCCTGACTTGAGATCGCCCACAGGGCCTGGAAATGTAACTGAAGTTTTGAAAAACTGTGGGTTTTTTTTTTTTTTTTCCGTGCCTGCTCTCCGCCGGTCCTTCTGCAGGTTGAGAGGGAGGTCAGAACTGAGTTGCGAAGCGGCTTTGCTTGGGCAGAAAGCGTGCCCTCAGCCCAGACCTGGCGCTTTCAGCACCCGCCGCGTGGACAGCGCCGGCTCCGGGAGGGCGCAGGGCAGGGCTTGCGGGTGAGGGGCGGGTAAGGGGGGCCGGGCGGGGGGAGCGCCGGGCCGGGTCCGCCCCGTCTACGCGCAGCGCTCAGACCCCGCCACTGGAGGCTCCGGAACCCGCTGCCCCTCGCCCGCTCCCGCAATGGCAGCGAGGCGGCCGCAGGAGCCCGCAGGGGCTCTGTCCGCCTTCCTGGGGGCGAGGGGCACGGGCAGCCCCCGGGCCCGCCCCAAGCTCGGCGGAGTCTTCCGCTGCGTGGAGGATGCCTTTGAGAACAAGACACTGCCGCTGGACGCGCTGGGAGGCGGCCACCGGGGTCGGAGAGGCGGAGAGCCCTACAGCGGGCCAAGCGGCTACCCGGGGAGTCCCAGCGAGCCAGGTGGAGACGGCCTGGGGGCCGCGGCGAGTCCCCCAGAGAGGCCCAGCGCGGCTCAGGCCCACGGTCCACAGCAGGTAGTGGCCGCGGTGTGGGGGCTGCGGGCGGCAGGGCCGGTGAGCAGCGAACGCGGGATCTGCCCCCGAGGCACGACGCTTCCACCCCGGAGGCTCCCCGGGTGCCGTCCAGGGGCCCATCCTCTTCGGAGAGCCTCCAGCCCCTCCCCGAGGACGCGAGCGCTGGCCGCAGGATCCCTTTCCCCCTAGGAACCGAGCCTAAGCCTGGACCTCCCCACCCTGCGCCCCCTCCCCAGTCCGCACCGCCCCCACCCCACCTCGAGGCCTGGGCTCTCCTGCTCTGTGTCTCCTGGTCTCTTTCTGTCCCTTCCGTGTCCCTGCAGCCTCCCTCCTGTCCTCAAGGCTCGTGGGGCTGGCCCTGGACAGTCTCACAGTGACGTGTCTCCACTGTCCGGCCCCAGGGTCTGGCGCTTTCAGCCCTGCCCTGGCAAATACTCGAGGGAGCTGAGCTTTGGCCTGAAACATCTTTCAGGACAGAGTCCAGCTCCCTGAGATCCTCAGCCTGGACTTGAGACTAGACTCGGTCCCCGTGGCCTTGGGTGCCCTGGGTCATCTGGGAGCTGGTGGCGGGCCTCCGGCTGGCCAGGGGCGAAGCGGGGCCTGGCAGGTCATTACCGGACCCCTCTCCCTGTCCATCTCGGGCGGGGCGGGGGGAATCTCTGCCCACACACTGGCCAGGACCGGTGGCAACCGTCTTTCCACCCCCACCCCCACCCCACTCCGCCTGCAAGAGTTCTCCTGCCGTCTCCGTCGGGGCGGGTCAGCGGCCTCAGCGCAGGCCTAGCCGGAGTTGGCGGCAGCCTCTCGGAGCCGGGCCGGGGCGGGGCTTGAGAAGCCCGGAGCAGCTGCGGGCCGGGGGCGGGGCTGGGGGCGGGGCCGGCAACCGAGCTGCGCGGCCCCGCGCGCTCGCACTTGGACGCCCGGCGCCCCCACGTACACACTCGGGCTCCGTGGGCTC